ATGTAATTTTTCCGTGTTTCCAATTTTTCATGTTCTAATTAGACTATTTTCTTAAATAACTCCAGGCTGGGTATCCTAATCTTTTTACTTATTTACTTTGTTTTTATTTTAGGACTTCCAGTTCTTTATTTTGCCAAGGGCGGCACTAACGGATATAACCAAAAATGTCTTCACTATTATGATTTCCTATTTCCATTATTTTATAAATGAAAGATACTTTACAACTAAAAATTATTTTTTTCTATTTTTATTATTACCACTTATTTGCAGTAATGATTACATTCATCATGAGGAGTTGGTACATGTATGTAACACATCGTAAGTTAAAAATAAGAATGGCACAGTGTTGGGAAATGATCATTCTCTTTAAAAAATATAGTATTGAAAATAGTGTACTTGCAGACTATCATAGCTTATATGTTCACAGTTTCTAGACTTAATTCCCAGAGAAATTTTGATTCAAGACTGGAGATCTACATGTTTTGAAAGCTCCCAAGGTGTCTGGATCTTTTTCTAAATGACAGCAAATGAAATACAAAATTGTACAATATCTTTTGATACTTTTTAAGCCCCCCCAAATGGACATAATAAAATATATTGTGAGAGTTAGAGGTGAGACAATAAACAACTCTCTAGATCCAAAATCTTGGGTTTTATGACAAGGAATTTTAAGAAGCATTTCAGGTAGACATATTATTTCCTATTTTTCTCTTAATTTGGAAGGTTGGAGTTATTTCTGCTTTCATTCATTGTAAATGGTGATGACAGAAAATCACAGAAGTTCTGAATTGCTGCTAAAAGAAGCTAGTACCAATAAAACATAGAATTTCAGTATTGCCCCCACACACCTAGCAGAAAAATCCAGAAATGTTTTCACTTCATCCACAAAGTTGTTTATTTACCCATTTATTTCATTCATTCAATTTCACTGCAGTTGTTCTCGTCAATGCTTCTCTTTATCCCAAAAACATCTATGTTAGCTAGGATAAGCAAGGTTATGCGGGAATAACAAGCAGCCAGCTCCGTTAAGGACATTCCAGCAACAAAAGTTTACATTTGGTCCCTGCTTGAAGTCCTTTTTGGGTTGACAGAATTTCTGCTCCTGTTGCTCCCATGCTGAGACCCATGCTAAAATGTCCCCTTTCTGGGAAATCGCTGGGCAGAGCTAATACATACGGTGAGTCACAGGGTGTCTCTTACACGCCTATGTACAAATGACACAGAACTTTTTACTCAGATTCCCCTGCGAAAGAGAACACAGAGCTAGAGACACACAGTTCTTTCCCGGTGATGCTTATTGGAAGACAGCTTTTCAGAGAAGGTCATCCGAATATTTGGCCAATCCTATTGCAATCACCCCCGAGGGCTCCATGCTTGGTGAGGTTTCTCCCTTATTCTGATCCATCATTCATAGAATTGCTGGCCTAAATGGTCAGGCAATCATGAGCTGTGGCCAACTGAATGGCCAACTCCTTTCATTAGGGATCTCCAAAAATTACTGAATATTTTGTTGGAATTACAGATCAGTTCGGTATCTTTGGGAAGCAAATTGATAATTGTTGTTACATTCCAGATAGGCAATTCTATTTGGAGGCAGATCCTAAAGAAATTCATGTTGATGTGCAACAGGAAATGAACAAAGATATTCAATGCAGCACTATGAATGGATGGAAATATAATGCATCGACATCATGGAATTAAAATGAATGTACAGCAGTTAAGATGTGGGAACTAGATGTACATTCATACAATGAAGTGGAAATGAGTACATGATGATTGAAAGACATAAGATAGAGGTGGATCACCATGAATACATACCAAAAATTATACCACTGAACCCCACGCAGCAAGATGCAGAAGTATATAGTGCAGCAAAATATCATATATAAGCATATTTTATTTTTATTTTTGTACCAGGGATCAAACTCAGGACCTTGTGCTTACAAGGCAGGCAGTGGAACCACTGAGCTAAATCCCCAGCATATAAGCATATTTTAACAAGCAACAATCTATAGTTATGTGTGTGTAACATGGTCAGGAAATCCATACATCAAATTCCCCTAATGACTGTCTCTGAATATGAGACAGAAAAAGAAAGGGATAGTTCACTTAATCAAAACTGTTTTATTATTTTTACTGAACAATTAAAAAAGTATAAAATATTGGCATTTGTTGACTCTGGGTGGTAGCTTTAGAAGTGTTTGTTTTGTTATTTTCTGGACTTTGCTATAATTTTGTTCCAATGTATAAAGCAAAACATTACATTTGCAGATGTTCCACATGTTTTTGTAATAGTATTTCTCCTACAGTTGCCTCTTCTACCTGGAGTGTTTTTGAAGTGACAGCCAAGGTTTTCTCCACGATTCCAGCTGTTCATCTGGGTCTCATCAGTAAACTCTCTCACACTCATTATGCAGAATGTGTCACCTGCCTCCTTTTCCACTGCGGAAACCTGAGCTGCCACCCGTGGTCAGGCCAGGCAAATGCTCTTCTCACTTAGCATCACCAGAATTTCATTCTCAAATTGCATGGCGTGAATGCTACCTTTAGAGATAGAAGCAGCATCCATCAAAGGTTGTCAGATATATTTGTCCATGGCCCAAGCAAAGAAATGATTTTACTCTCTTTTATCCATCACACTTTCAAACTTATAAATTATACCACTTTCCCTAGCCTTTCCCAAGCACAGAGTCCAGGGGGCCCTGGGACTCAAGCCAAGGAAGCACCCCATGCCTTGGACAAAGGAAGCTTTCCTGGTCCCGAGGGGTGCAGGGGATAAGAATGAAGGCTTATGTACTGCTAACTGCTTTAATAAAAATCAACATCCCTCCTCTAGGTTGAGGTTCGTCAGTAACACCCTACCTTTGATAAATCTCTGAATTTTGGCTTTCAATCCATTGGCTGCTCTTAGTTCTGCAGTACAAGATAAATATGTCACTGGATGAGCCACTTCCTTAGCCTAATAGATGCCTCTTAGCAACTCATCAACCCATTAAAACCTGCTTAGCAAAGCTTTGGTTTTGACATTGCAATGAAATCCCATAGGTAGTAACTTAAGACTCACAGCAAGAGATGGTGGGGCAGGCAGAATAGCCCGAAGACACCTCCTCTGTAAGTTGCCTGGTGTGTGTGTGTGAAATGTGAGCTGTTGGCGCATTCCCAATCACTTTTCCATATTTTCCCTTTTCTGGCAACCGGTAAACCTGTCTGCATTAGCCATGCTTTCCCTCAATGCGCCCTGCATTTTGGGGGCACGAGGAACTTGCCCTGGATCCCGGAGATTCTGCAAGTCACCAGGCTCCGTCTTCAGTTGCATCGCTTCTCAGGACCAGGCCATAGGCTATGGCCAAGGACCACGTCAACTTGGTGACTTCAGCCAAGGCTATGCAGAACTTCAGAGTTACAGCCAGCTTCCCTAAGCATCTCCATCCATCCAAGTGGCCCCCAGGTACCTCTGAGCCAGGAAGCCCCGACCCTTGCCATATCAGCGTTCCACCCCCAGCAACAAAAAGCCGAAAGAAACAAACAACACTCACCACTATTCTGAATTCTCTGTGGTCCACCTCACAAACTGGTGGGTTTTCTGTCCCTTTCTCCTACATTTGTGCAAACACAGAATCATTTTACTTCCTAAAACATGTGGCCACACCTGTACCTTTTATGGCTTGTCAGTCACCTCTTGTCCTGACTACTTAGGAAACAGATTCTTTAACTGCTCCCCCTCTGGTAACCATAGTGATTTAATTAAAACTCAGATCTGTCCACAGTACATTTTCTTCTTAGCACACCCACTGATTAGAGGCTAAGCATGTGGTGGCTAAGATGTCACAGGGATCTCTGTAGGTGTTCACCTTTTTAAGACATCGCCGTTTTCAGAAAGTCTCCCCAAACCTTCTGCTCTGGGCATTTGAGGTCCTCTCTTTTTCTTTTGACCTCCTATAATTATACCCTTTTCTTTCTTCCCTGTCAAATTCAATCCCTTAAACATTTTCTACTGCCCATGTTGCTAAATCCAATGGTTCAGCTCTTCCCCCCTCATGGTAAATTCTCAGGACCCCCGATCAGGTCTCCCGCTCTCTTCATCTGGACTCAGCCTCTGGTCTTGGTTTTTGAAGTCCTACTTCATTGGATTTCTTTCTTTTTTCTGGGCTGAGACTGAAACCACGGCCTGGCACACACTAAGTCAGTGCTCTGCACCTAGCTGCACCTGCAGCTGGTCTCTGCTGTTGTCTTCTGCCATCGGGTCTCATCTGCTGGTCTTTTTAAGCAGTTCTGGACGTCTTATTTCTTTTTCTTTTTCTTTCTTTTTCTTTTTTTTTTTTGGTACTGGGGATCGAACTCAGGACCCTGCGCTTCCAAGGCAGGCGGCGGAACCACTGAGCCAAAACCCCAGCCCTAGAAGTCTTGTTTCTTGAGAGTCTTTACACTGTCATGGTGCTGCTTTGATGTCCTGAACTATGTCAAAATGTTGACCTTTCATGATTATTTTGACTCTGGGGAAGAGCCAGAAGTTGCACCCTGCTAGACCCAGTGAATGAGGTGGATGAGGACACACTGTGAGGTGTTAATGGGTAGAAAGTTCTGTGACTACTGGCAGAGCAACTAAAGACACTCAGAAAAGCAGGCTTCCAGAACTGCTTCAGAAAGAGCAAAATAGAAGATAGATAATCAGAAACAGGGCGATAGTTAGTTTGCAAATTTAAAGGTGCAGGAGACTACAATATTGATTATGGCCAAAGCAGGCTGTAAGCAGTGCTGGCTGTGAAGAGTTAACTCCGCAATTGGCTTGTTTATAGAAATGAGTTCCTACCATGCCTACGTGCCAAGGTCAGAGTGACTCGCACCCAAATTCCCACAATTAAAGTCTTCTTAACTAGAAGGTCAGTGTTCTCATTACAATCCTATATTTTGTCTATTCTGTTCCTAATTCAAGAATGCTTTGTCTTGTCCTTTGCGAGCCTTGCCTGCATTAGTTTCCATAGAAACTGTGTGTAGCTTGCCTTTACCCCAATTGATTACTAATAAAAATCAGTGGCTTGGAGAGACCAGCACCTTTGCTGGATGAGCAGTGTCGGTCGTCCTGGCTCCTCGGTTTCCCTGTCTTTTTAGTTCTGTCTTTCAGTTCTTTTCTCAGTCTTGCGCCTTAGCATCAAGCAGGAAATCAGAACCTACTGCAGAGATCTCTGATAGAAAGGGAACCAAGAGATCAAGGGAGGGGAGAAAAGGGGAAGGGGAAGGAAAAATAGAAAGAATTAGCTGTGTTATGTACCGGTACTGATTCCTCAGTGTGATTGGAATAGTTATGTTCTGCAAACACATACTAATAAAAATTTTAAAAATTAAGAACAAAGAGGCAAGGATGATGAAATAAGTGGCTTGAAATCAAGGTGAGAATTTGGGGTGGAATTCATGGCAATGTGTCTTTTATAGCAATACATTTTTTATTTTAATGTCTGGGCATAGCTCAAGTGTATACAACCATCACACAGTTCCTGGGCCCCACTTACCTCAAGCATCCCACAGTAGCACAGGATTCCAGAGCCCCAAAATCTAGCGGGGGCGGCCTTCCTCTCTCATGCTGACTGACTTAATCACAACTAATGACAGCCAGGGAGTGTCTCCCCCACACCCCATGTGTCTGCCCAGCCCCAGGGCCTTCAGTGATGGAGGCTTAAAGGGCCTCATTGGAGGTAATTATGATTTATGTGGTCTTTTAGTTCCTCAGACCTTTTAATGCTAGATTATTTCATCTGCAACAAGTAACTGAAGACAGAAAATTTAAAACTTACACACTTACCCAAGAAACACAGTTTGTTGGCTTTTATAAAGAGAAGATATAGAGATTTATTTCCTATTCTCATTGATTATAACAAATTCATTTGGATTGAGCACTTCTGGAAAAAAAGAAACATCATCAGAGCTTTTGTTGGTTTATTGTCTTTGTGTTTGTTGATACTGCTGCCATGGTTGGAAAAGTTCCAAAAACGTTGGGAAAGTTCCAGAGCATGGGTGCTTTCAGTAAGAGAAAATTGCACTGTGAGCCGAACTGTGTCCTCCAATAAGACAGGTCCATGCCGTGACCCTTGGTACCTAGGAATTGTGACCTCATATAGACAAAGGGTCTGTCTGTATTAGTCACTATCCTGTTGCTGGGACAAGGCATCTGACTCTCGAAACTTAAAGAAGGAGAAGTTTACTTAGACTCCCAACTCCAGAGGGTTCAGTCCATGGTCAGCTGGCTCCAAGGCAAAATAACATGGTGGAAGGGCCTGGGGCAGGACACCTCAGGCAGCCAGGAAGAGAGAAAGGAGAAGCCAAGGACAAGAACACACCCTTCCAGGCCACACCTCAGTGACCTCCTCCAACCAGGCCCTGCCTCCTAACAGCATAGTTGGTTGTGAACTCACCCATGAGTGAATCAACTGAAGAGAAGAGCAACCTGTGATCCGATCACCTTCTGCAAGCCTGACCTCTGAACACAGGAGATCTTTGGGAGAAGTTTAGTTCTAAACCATAACAGGATCTTTGCAGATGTCTCCAAGTGAAGATGAGGTTATTAAGATGTATCCTAATCCAGTATGACTGATGTCCCTTGTACCAGGAGCAGAATGCCAGGTGAGGACAGGGACATGGGAGAAAAGCCCAGGGACAACAGAGGCAGAGACGGACTGATGCATCTACGAGTCAAGGAAAACCAAAGAGTGTGGGGGACAGGAAGCTCACTTTTGGTTACTTCCTAATCTTGCCTATGATCGGCATGAAAGGATAACTTGGAGGCTGGACACGAATAGATAAGAAATTATCATTCATTCACTCGTGAGCAGATGTACTCTGGGCAGGTACCAGACACAGACCCGGCACTTTGCAAGTCCTGCCTTCTCTGTGCTTAACGATCTTTTAGGAATGGAGGTGGTGAATGGTGGTGTAATGACACACTCCACCTTTAGAGTAAATTCAGGCTCGTTGCACTGTGTGCTCTGAAGATTTATCCCTCCCTCTCTGTCACCTGAGTGTAGGTGGCAGCGGGTAGAAACAGTGGGGGGAATGTAAAAGAAGGAAATGGATGAGGAAGGAAATCGTGTAATCAAGGCAGATAGGGTCAAGCCTTTCCACAGAGGAAGTCGCCCAGAAGGGCAGGCAGGCAAGCAGCAAAGCAAGCTTCAGAAATTTCAGTATTTCAAGATATGTGGCTTTTAGGAAAGAAAAGTTTCTGGAAATGTTCAGTCAAGAAAGACAGGAGGAAAAACACATTCCCAGCTGTTCTCCATCAGACTGTTATTTGCATTCACATCCCTTGGAAAATAGAAATATAGATTAAATTGTTTTTATATCAAGGTTTTAATTTATACAGGAAACATAATATTCTTTTAAAGCTTCAGCGTTTTGTCTTTATTTTTAGAGCAGTTTCAGGTTTGTGGTAAAACTGAGCGGAAGGCACAGAGATTCCTGAGGCTTTCTGTGCTCATTCCAGCCTCAGGCACAGAGAGGACCTCGTTACGATGGGGCAGCCCCCAAACCAGCGTTTTTAGCAGACCCCAGGGTAACACCGGGGTCCGCTTGGGGTGGGCGGCAGGCTGTGGGTTTTGACAGACACATAACGGTGGGTTCCCACCACTCCAATGCCTCCCAGACTCTGTCATCTCTGGCTATCACTGACAGTTTCTTTTGACATCTATATTCATGGGTTTGATTTTTCCAGTACATTTCAAGACTTCAAACAAGGTAGGAAGAACAGCAATGTCATTACAACACTTGATATTACACTGAACAATATTTTTTGTGCACTGGGTATTGAACCCAGGGCCTTTGCACAGAGCTACATCTCCAGCCTTTTACAAATTATTTTATTCTGAAACAGGATCTTTCCAATCACTAGCTTGTCCAGGCTGGGCTCGAACTTGCTGTCTTTCTGCCTTAGCCTCCCAGCGTGCTGGGGTTACAGATGTGCGCCACCATATCCAGCTAAACAATAATATTTCTTTAAGCTCTGCTCACAGTACGGTTTTGTAATGGAGGATAACCATTTCCTGATACCACAGGAGAAATGTATTTTAACTAAATTTACTAAATTTAGAAAATAAAATGTTTGTATGTGGCTCATCAGGATTTGTTTCCTTTTCTAATTATTTTGAATAAACTTGTCTAGAAAGATCATGTCTGGGATAAAGAGAGGTGAAGTTTTCTAAAGCATTGAAACATCTAGTTTGAAACTTTTGCTTCTTTAATTCAAGACATTTGTATATGTGGTTACTTTAGATTCATTATGTATATATTTCTTAATCTTATTATTTTCCAGTTTCTGCTCACTGTTTATTTTCAGGTACCAACACAGATGCTCATGGCTTCCATAGCTACCTTCTAAAAGCTACATTTAAGGGTTGAGGACCTGGATTTTCATCTACCAAATTTACAAAGAAATACAGATTTTAGTGTAGTCAAAATATAAAAGTTCTTATTAAAGATGTCTTCCCAGTACTATTTCACCAAATGGATATGTGTCACTAGCAAATAATTACTTGGCATTTCTTTCTCTTTTTTTATTGCAAACAAGATAATAGTCAAGTTTTAACACTTGTATTCCCTTTTTTGGGTGGGAATTTATTATATCATGTATACTTAATGAGAGCTAGGCTAGTTACTAGATATATCCTAAAAGTTAGATAGGAAATGGCATGTAAATTAATTTTATTTGTAGATGAAATGTATTTAAAACCCAAGCTCTGAACACTTACTTTTCAGCATTGTGAAGATCTTTTGCTATTCATAGCTTCTCATGAAGACATCACCGTAATGTGTTAACGTTATTTCTACTCTGCCTTTTATAGAGAAATAAAGGCAAGTTAGCTGATAACACAAACTGTTATTTTCATGCTGCCACTCTAGAGCATTACCCATATGACATTTTCTCTAATTTATGCTTCTCAAAATCTGCATGTAGATGTACCTACAGTGTAGGAATATAAATCACTTGATAAAGGCATATTGAAGCTCCAAAAAGTTAGGTAAAATGTGTTCATGCTCCAGGATGCATTTTACTCAAAATTACTAAAACATTCCTTAATTGTTATATTTTTCTGTCTCCTATTAATGTGTTTAATGGAACATTATCAAATTAGAATGTTATCATAGGGTTTGGCTAAAAAAATAAGTAAAATAATAAACAGCAAAGTATTTAGTCATAAGGATAGTTTCCAGCTTTTCAGCTGATAAAATAAGTAAGCCTGGAAAGTAGATTAAGAAAATAATCAAACGTGTAAAAATAACAATACCCATATGAGAAGAATTAAACATTCCTGGACCATGACAGACTTTGATTTTAACAGCTATCCAGCATGAAATAAAAATTGCTGGGCTGATGAAGGATAGGAATTGCTATTTCATCATTGCAGAGCTCAGCTCTGCCGTCTGTTGCAACGAAATTATTACACCTTCGAAAACAAGCGTGTCTATTTCCAGAATGGAGGAGCCCTTCACTTTAACCTTGCTCCATGTGTCTACCATGGCTACCCGGGCCCAGGGAAAGGCAGTTTAATTATTATCATTAATTAACTGAAGTTCAGAAATTTTGGTAAACCATTTCTTCCTGAGCAACTAGGAGAAAATACTAATAACCCCTGAAATTATTATACACTAGAGCGCTTGTTCTTAGAAGGGATTTTGTCGTGCTGCATCGTTTTCCCTAGCAGCCTGTGGCCTTGAGCCAGTCATCGGCTTCCCTGGAAGAGCCGAGGGGATGGGCCGAGGAACCCTCTCCTGTCTGTCTCGGGGCCGGGTAGGGGCCGCAGCAGGGTTACCGGGGGCCCCTGCCTGCAGGCTGCGGGAGAGGTGCATGCTGAGCTTGCGTCCTCATGAGTAATACCAGATTTCTCCCAAGGGTCCCGAAGGACCTCAGCTCTGTAGCAAGATGGAGGGTCAGGGTGCCTCTATTTCCCCCTGCCTCTATCTTTCTTTGGGGGTCCTGGGGATGGATCCCAGGGCCTTCACCTTGAGCTATGGCCCAGCCGTTTGTAAAACTTTTTAGTTTTGAGATAGCTTCTGCCTGTTTCTGGGTTGCCTAGGCTGTGTCCAAACTTGCATTCTCCTGCCTCAGCCGTCCCGACTGCTGGGGTGACAGGTATGCACTGCCACACCCGCCCTCCCCTTCCTGTTGGTGGCACTGCAGGCCTGGGGGCTGGCAGTCACCAAAGGAGGATGTCACGGGCATCAGCACCTCTCGGCATCAGGAGATGGTGGGGCGCGCGCCGGGCTGCGGGCTCCCGGCCTCTCTGGCCTTGGAAAATGGAGCTTCCGGCCCTGCAGCACTTGGAGGAGTGTGAGCCTTCTCCTTGGCGTCCGGCACAGGATGCGGCCACCTGGTCTAGATGTCTGGGAGCCCCGCGTGTGCCTCCCCATGGGTCAGGAGGCGTGAGAAGGCGCAGCTTTCAGCAGGGGAAGAGATCGCGGGGCTGCGTCCTCCCGGCAGGGACCCAGGCCCCGATGAGGGCGATAGGACAGTGGCCTGTCCCCTCCGCCAGCTAGCTGCTGCTCTGACCTCGGCTCCGGGCCCCACCATCGCTGCTGTTCCCATGCGCGATGTAGCTAGCGCGCTTTGTCCTGTCCGCCAGAGCAGGAGGAAGGTGGCTCCTGCCTGGCTCGGACTCTGGGCTGGGCCAGGCCCGCAGACGGAGGACACCGAGGCCCTGGGCGGGCCAGGGGACACCGTGCCTTTGCCTCCCGCCCAACCTCGGTGTGCAAACCGCAAAAACCCAGCGCAGACACTGCACGCTGGGGAAGACTGAGGACCCTGTCACCCCCGGGGGAGCGCGCTCACTTTTGTTCTTATTTGGCCTGGTTTGCAGCACATAATGATTATCCTCATCACAGGGCGTTGGCGCCTGTACCCCACACACCTTCCTTCTTCTTTATCCTCCACCCCTCCCAGCCTCCCCTTCCCATTGGCAGAAGATCCATCTCCCTGAGCCTATGATCTGTCTTTTACCTCGCTCTTTATTTATACTTTGTGTTTCTCATAGAAGAGAAACAATGCAGTATTGAAGCTTGTGTGTCTGATTCATCTCACTTAGCACGATGGTCTCAAGCTGCATCCATTTCCTACAAACAAGGACAAAGATGGCCCCAGGTCACCGTCCACGATGTCATGCCAACTCAGCCAGCCCACACTGCTGGGCTTGCTCAGCGGGTCTTCCCTGAGCTCTCCTGGGCACATGGTGGCCACACCTGTAATCCCAGCAGGCTAGGAAGCTGAGGCAGGAGAACTGCAAGTTGAGCCCCGCCTGGGCAATTTCGTGAGACCCCATCTCAAAATAAAAAGTGAAAAAGGGCTGAGGATGTAGCTCCGTGTGAAGGCTCTGGGCTCAATTCTCAGTGCCAAACAGGGCCTCCCCCCAAATCAGAGGCTGCAAGGGTCAGAAGACGCTGACTGTACCAGTGCGGAAGTGAGGGGAGCGGCGGGAGGACAGCTTGGGCTGCGGTCACCACGGGTCACCCTCAGAGCCTGTGGTCCCGGCAGTTGGTTAAAGCCTTGTTTGTAGAAATCCCATGGAGAAAAGTTTCTCGAATACAGAGCAGGCTCCAGCGAGAGCACAAAAGCCTGCCTTTCCCCTGCCCAGTCTCTGGGTTCTGCTTCTCCTAAGCCGCAGGGAGGATTCGCTCTGCCCCCCTCCCCCGGAAGCTGGCAGGAAACACTCGCTGCTCCCGTGTCTAGGGGTGGATCTCAGCTCGCAGCCTCCAGGGACGGAGCAAGCGCCCAGGGAATGGCTCATGGCACAGTTCAGCCCCGAGCCAGGAATCTTGGCCTTCGCCTTGACCCCTGGGCCCCAGCCAGTTCACGCCAAGGGCTCAGGGGCCCTGGATTCCTGAGAGCTCCCTTCCCTAGCACCTTCCCTGGCCCCGCTGCAGCCCAGGCCCAGCCCCACCCTCTCCTGCCCGGCCCTAATCTGGTCTCCCGGTCGCCAGCTCCAGGTCTCTGGGGCTCCCAGGATGGTCAGCCAGACCCTGGGTCACTGCTTGTGCCCTGTGCCCCTGCCCCTCGCCCTTCCGGATGTCCTGACTCCCGACCCCAGGAAACCCTCAGCCCTGGAGGCCGGGTCAAGCCCGCTTCTGTCACGGGTGTGACTTTTGCTGGACATGGCAGGCACACGTGTGACACATGTACAGTACACATGTGCAACCACTGTGTGGCCAAGGCTCACTGCACACTTCGCTCACACTCAGCACAGCGCCTCGCGCATGAAGAACGTCCACACGCACAAACCTGATCCGCCGGGGTGGGAATCTGCTCTAGCAGCAGCTGCAGCCTGCAGTCTGGAGGCAGAGTACGGGGAGCGGTAAGGCTCATGAGGGTGCTCTGCAAGATGGTCCATCCTTCTTTGCTCCCTCCCTCCCTCCTTTCCTTCTCTCCACCCTCTCTTCCTGCCTTTTCTCCCTCCTTCCCTCCTTTTTCCTCTCTCTCCCTCCTGCCCAGCTTCCCCCTGTCCTGCCTTCCGCCTTTCCATTAAGGAAGAGGCAGGGCTGCGTGCAGTTTGGGCTGCAGAAACAGAGCTAGGCTTGAATGCGGTCTTCGTGCATCAGTGCTGCTACAATGAACTGCCTAAGGCTGGGCAACTCCTGAGCCCGGGACCTCCAGTTCTTCCAGTGCAGGGCTGAACGTGCAAGATCAGGACGCAGCATTTGGTGTCTGCTGAGTCCTCCTAAGACAGGGGATTGCTTTGTTCTGTTTCTCCAACTCTCTGACAGGACACCAGTCGAATTCCAGAGGGTTCTGCCTGAGTCTAGGTTACCTCTAAGGCTGTGCCTCCTAAATACTGTCCTAGTGGGGTTTAGATTCCAACAGGACCTTGAAGGGGATGCAAACCCACAAACCCTAACACTTCCACTGCATGCTTGCTTGCTGGACTGCGGTACTAGAGATTGAGCCTCCCCTTGAGCTGTGCCCCCAGCCCTCTTTTTATTTTTTATTCTGAGACAGGGTCTCACTAAGACACTAAGTTGCCTAGTCTGGGCTCAAACTTGCCTTCTTCTGGCCTCAGCCTCCCCGAGTGCTGGGATTCCAGGTGGGCACTACCACATGCAGCTCATTTTAAAGAAATCACTTAAATAATTATGTTCAGCAAAAACATCAAACACATTGTGGCTGGAACTGTGTTGGGAAAACAAAGACGGATAGAGTGTCATGCTGTCATTTAGTAGGGAAGAGACAACTGAAAATGTTTGCAGTATAAAAGAATGAGAGAGAGAGAGAGAGAGAGAGGCAGAGGGGCAGGTGCCAGGGGCTGTGGGAGCAAAGTGTAGAAAGAGCCCAGTATTTTGGGTAGAGAATAGGGAGAATGTCCCGAGAAGGTTCCCGGGCGATCACATCTACAGGGAGGTCAAAGGTGACGGAGGGCGCAGGACACCCCAATGTTCTCCACAATGGGACAGAGCAGGACAGCCCAGCCCCGAACTGAGCCTGGAACTTGAGCTGCTCGAAGAGCTGCTGCTTTTGTGGAACTATGGGAAGTATTCACAGAGTAAGCTCATAGCAAACATAATTTAGAGTTAAACCAGCCACCATTCCCATTTCTAACATCCACACAGAGATGAGGGCCAGCAGGTTCCCGGGGGTTGAGGACTGTCCGCCTGCACCGAGTTTGCTTGGTTCCCCAGCTGGGGGAAGAGTCACCTCCCCTGCTGCTAGCGTGGGTTTAGATGCATGGAATTCCCCTCACCACACTCCCCTCGCTCTGAGGATCCACTCATCTCATTGTTCTCACCGCTTTTCTGAAGCCCCTCTGGGAGTCTTTTTAGTTTCTCTGTCCTGTCTTCTCTGATGTCTTAAATCCATTCAAAACATTTACCCTTCATGGTCATTTTGACTTTAGGGTAGAGCCAGATGTCGTGTGGCCGAGGACACAGCATTGTGTTTTGCAGCAGCAATCAGCATGATTTTTATTATGCTTTGTAAAGACACAAAAGAAGACTTCCAGAGCTGCTTCAGAAAGTGGCAATCAGGCTGTGCGCATTCAAGGTGAGGGGAGTCCTGCAAGGGGGACTTGTGGCAGTGTGTCTCTAACTGCAGTAATTTTGTTTTAATTTAAACACTCACTGCATATTTCTTTTTTTTTTTTTTGGTACCGGGGATCGAACTCAGGTCCTTGCACTTGCACAGCAGGCAGCGAAACCACTGAGCTAAATCCCTGGCCCAACTCACTGCATATTTCTATCATACCACATAGGACAAAATGGAAGTCTTTTTTCTTTATTGTTTTTCCCTATTATAGAAGAAACACATGCTCATAAAAGCTAAAATAGCAGAGAGATGTGTAATACCAAAACGTAGAATATTTTTATCTCATGTTCTTCCCAGAGATAATCACTACAAAGCCTGATATTTTCCTCAAATGAAAAGAATACTTTACTAACACATTAAAATAACCTTTTACCTAAAATAGAATCCTCCAACTGCCTTTATTCCTTTCCTTACTTATGTTCCTTGGGTAACTTTATATATCAGCACATAAGTCTCATTGAGCTCTTTGAGAAATGGTATATTACCTTGTCTAGGTACTTTGAGTTTTATTTGATTTTTTAAAGGCAATGTATCAGAAACTGGAAACTAAACTTACAGTTGCACATTTTCTCTTTCCAATTTTTTTTTGCACTGTCAATTGTAAGAATTGTTCTAAAGAAGAAAAAAAATCAATGTTCATCATAGTGAAATGACCTAAAATTGGAGATCTGGTGATAGACAAGCTTATGTTTCTTTTTCAAGGAAAAGATACTTTCTGTTGAGAACTTATTTTTGTATTTCATAGACTTGTTCTCTTTCTTTAGCTTGATTCCCAAAAGTGAAATGAATAAATAAGAAGAGCTAGCAGCACTGGGGTACTGCAGGAGACGCCCCATCTTGCACTGTGCGCTGGGGATTTGGACAGCCCAGCACACCCCTGGTGGGTGCTTGTCCAGCAGCATGGAAAACAAGTGACAGTGATGGGATTCCAGTGAGGGACAGGGTGGAGCTCTGCTCTGTGGACAGGAGGAAGAAGAACAAATGACAGATGACAGCCCTGAAGGGGTCACGTGGGGACAGCCAAGTTTTCTCTGTGGCCCCTGGCCAGCGGGAGTTGGCCATGGATGGGGCCTTCCATCTGTAGTTTCAGAGCTTTACAGAAGCAGACCGAGACCAAAAGACAACAGTAAGAATCAGACCGCCTTAGCCCATTCGGACAGACAGAACGACAGTGCCCCACACAGGGCGTCTTATAAACCATGCAAGTTGGCAGCTCACAGCAGATGCCAGGATGAAGCCAGGGGCAGGTGCAGGTCTGGCCAGGACTTTCTGGCTCCCCGACGGCCCCTTCTCCCCGTGTCCCTGTGGAGTAAGATGTGACAGGCTCCCTGGGGGTCTTATAAAGGCAGTCACCTCATCAGCCTCAAAGACCCCACCTAATACCACCACGCTGGGGATTAGGTTTTAACATATGTAACTTGGGGTGCTGGTGAGGACACACACATTCCATGTGTAACACACACACACACACACACAGAAAATCAGCAATTTGTATGTTGCACTAAATCAAAGACAAGTGAGACGCAGAGACCAGAGGGGACCGGTGTGTGGGCTGAGCTTTTACCCTGTTTACTGAGTTGTCCCCAAATGCCACAGACATCCTCCTTCCCCTGCACCTTAGCAACTTGCTTCCCCAGTGGGTGCTGACCTCCCTTTCCCCTACTCGTCCTTTAGGGTCTAGCTTACATCTCTCCTACTCTGTCAGCCACTCGCAGGTCTGCTCCTGCCCTGTACCAACATCGGCCCGGTCCTGTCCTGCCTGGCTCCTCCCATGATGGTGGGGATCTAAGGACCACATCTGCTTTCTGTCTTCCCCTGAGTGTCCGGCCACCACCAGGACAGAGGGCTGAGGCCAGCGTGTTTCTCAGGGGAGGGGCGGCAGTTCTGGGAGGGTGGACAGGAAGTGTTTGCTCCTGATTCCAAATAAGGATGATAATAGCTTTCTACCTCCTGGGTGTGAAATAATTTCACCAAGTTTTTTGAGTTCCTTGGAATAAATAAAAACTAAGGCTGTGATTACAGAACATACCGAAACATGTTTTGTCTTTGAACCCTGCAGCCTAGTGGAGCTCACATCTCTTTGTTTCCTTCCTCGGTGCATTCATACTGTCTCAACATTTTTTTAGATCTTCTTTTATAGCTCATTAATACTGACCATGTTTTGGAGACTTGACAAATTTTGGTGTTTATTTGGTGTGGTGTCTAATATATATTTTTGAATGACATTGCTAAGAACACAGAGAGGTAACACAATGGTGTTTGGGGTCTGGGTGAGATTATACATTGTGGGATTGGAACTGCAAGTCTGCCACTCAGTTTGTGAATGGGCGATCTTATGTTCCTTTAGCAATAATAACAGTGAATGACAGCAGGTCTAATCCTCAGGGCGTGGAACTCCTGTCCTAAGGTCCTGTTGGACATCTTTTTCTCATATCATGTTTCCACCTTCAGAGCACCACGGATATGCCTTGTTCTGGAGTTCCTGAGAGGACCATGGCTGAAAGTAAGGTCACCAAAGAGGTGACCAAAGATAACATGCACTGTGGCTAACTGAGTGGGTTTTCGACAGACATACTGGCTCCAGGTCTCAATCCCAAATCCAGTGACATTCTTAACATTTGCTGATTTTTCTTGGGCAAATGAATTATACTTTCCTCAATGGTAAAATGGGACAATATTTTCTTCTCACATGGTTGTTATAAGAATTAACAGTGAGTTTCCTACCATGCCAAGGTTTTAGGAAATCCAAGGTAAGAGTTACCTGGAGTTATTGATGCCATTAAGGGATCATACCATGGTGCTCTGCTCATACAGTCCAGCATTGTGGTACCAGGCACATGTGTAAGAGCTGTGTGCACTTCCTGTACTAGGCAGCTGGGGAGACTGTCTCCAAGGGTCCTGGCCTTTGGGTATTCAAGCTGGTAATGCTCTGCCCTTGTCTGGGCCAGATCTAGTCACTCACTTCTAACCAAGAGGAAATAGCAGACATTATAGAATGTCTCTTCCGAGATGAGCTTGCACGTAGAAGAGTCCCTCATCTCAGTGTCTTCTGACTGTGTTACTCAGTGGGGGAAACCAACTCCACTCATGTGCAGAGACCCACATAAGTGAGCTCAGAAATCTGTCCTTCTGTCTCTTTTCAGGGTCTCTTCGGCTGAGACTGACTATAACCTTGGGGCAGGGGCAACCCACTGAACCACACCTGGACTCCTGACCCACAGTGACTGTGAAATAATCCATGTTTGTTGGTTTGGATGCTATGGAGGTTTAGATGGATTTTGAACTTGACTGGCT